ATATATATGTACATATATATAATACCCTATCATATCTTACAATATAAATAATACTTTAGACAATCAAATTAAATCAATAAAATGATTTTTTTTTAGTCGACACAGAATATATATAGTAATGTGTATAATAATTTCATATTTTTTCCTATTATATTTTTAATGGAACAAAATATTCATATTATGTTTTTACACACACATTATTATATAAAGTATACTTTGTAATATTACAATAGTCGGTATATATTTGACAAAATAAATTATAAAATCAGTATATTACTGTCATCTCAAATTTGCCAAAATGAACTCAAGTCACTAAAGTCAATGAAGTATATTATGTCATAAAGCGGCGTCTACAATAAAATTTCAAGATATAAACCTTAAGCTTTAAACTCTAAGCCATAAGAAATTGGCCAATTATAGTCGAATATAAGGAGAATAATTAGCTATGATTGGTCAATTTCTTATGATTTAAAACTTAAAATTTAAGTTTTACGTCTTAAAATATCATTGTACTCTGTTTAAGATAAGACTTTAGGTCTGTTTTTTTAGCACTGAATGTACACTTTTGAAATTTAAAGTGAGATGTGTTTAATATTTGACGAAAGCAAGAAAGAGAATTCTAGTGCAGTCTATATAGTGCAAGAATAAAAAACAAACATTATATTTCCAGATCAAGTGGTATAGCAAAGAGCATAAACATGCATTGTATAAAATTCACAGAAATTATCAGATTTAATGATTAAAAATATTAATAATTAATAATTATTTACTCTTTCAAGTATTATTTCACTTACTGTCATTTGAAATGTATTTGGCTGTACGCGTTTAGAAAAGAATTTCGTGGGTCCAGGCTACCCCTCGGCCACCTGCAGAAATGTTACGTGTGTGTATGTGTGAGTGGTATGTGTCGGTGTGTATGTGTGTGTGCGTGACGTCTGTTCTTTATTTATAGAATTCCAAGGTAAATAAACATTATGTTAAACGATTATAAATCCTCTTATTGGTTAGACGCTAACCTATTTCAGATCACAGGCGAGCGTCGCGTCAATCACAATGTTGATCAGTGTGTCGTACTCATAGTACGATTATTATTTAACCCGTTTCTTATCTCTATAATCGCCACGCCAAGAACTAGAGAATATAAAATTCTGAAATTCGCGACGTTTCTCTGGACGTTGCACAAACTCCACTTCTCGATCTATTTCCCCTGATACCCCCGTCATGCCATGTCGTAATGTTTATAGTGTTTATACAACCGAATATGACTGCATTCGGGGAGACACTATTCGAGGAGACCACTGACTTGAAGATAGTAGACAAATTGAATATTTCTAATTTATTTATGTTTAATAATTGGGAATCGTTTGGGGAAATTTAGGAAAAGTATTATATTTGGGTAATAGCACCGACGAGATACTATTAAAGATGGTCGACATATATGATCACGTACCTATTAAAATTCAAGATTAAAGAGTAAGAAACTAATAACACGGTAATAATTTTATGATTTATTAGTTTCGTAGAATGTACATGTATATGTACATTAAAAACTTAATAATACTCGATTTTGATTTAAAACTATGATTTAATGTTATCATCCGAGTTTGATTATCAATAGAGACGATACCTGCAGAGAAAAAAATTGTAATTTTTCAACAATATATAGGTAAGATATTATAGCATTGAAAATATGCATATTTATTTGTACAACATTCATGTAATAAAAAAATCACGAATTTAATAATGTATCATTGATAGTATTTATGTTAATATAATAATATATTTTTATTAATTGTCGGTAACATCATCGTTTTTTAATGATCTATGGATCTCCTGAGTATCAACACCGACGAGATGCTATTAAAGGCCATCAATCCTGGGCAAATTTTCGGCAGTATAAAAAGGGCCCAGAGGTAATTGAAGAATGCTAACATTATCGACAATTGATATAAATTTGCTATTATTACATAAATATTTGGCTCATACATTATTTAAAAAATTCATGATTTTTTATAACATAAATGTTCCATAAATAAATATGTATACTTGTAAAGCTATAATATCTTATATATTGCAGGAAAATTACAATTTTTTCTCAGTTATCATTTCTGCTGATAATAAAACTTTGACAATAACACTAAAATCACAATTTTAAAGAAAAATCGAGTATTATTGAGTTCTAAATGCATAAATCTACTAAACTAATAAATCATAAAATTAATACAATATTATCAGTTTTTAACTCTTAATTACTTCAATATTTACAAGGACGCGAACTTCCGTAAGGATGTCGGTCTTTAATAGTATCTCGTCGGTGATATCAATCATAAAACTTCATCTTTAGGAAAGTAAAAAATTAAAATTTTAACCATTGAAGTTAATGGAGAAATTTTTCACTTTTTACTTTTCATCCTAGAAAAAAAGTTTTATGATTGATATTCTGGATTTTATTGGATGCATATTGGAAATTCTACTCCGAGTAGAAATGTTACCAACCGTCATTCAAAAATTGACATATTATTTACGTTCGGAAATATCGAGTAAATATCTACTTGCAAAATTTGCAAACAGATCTAAGAGAATGATTCTGTAATTGGTGATTCGTTAATCCGCGATACATGCGGTACGCTCCATAAGACTGCATCCTGACGGTGTTTGAAAACTAGGGAAATGCTATAGTATATGTAACACATACTGTAGTATTTCCCTAGTTTTTCGTACGCGATATTTTTCGAGAATAGGGGTCCAGAGCAAGCAATATTAGGTTCCTCATGAGGGATACTTTTCGAGATGCGTAGGTTACTAAAACCAATCATAAATTTGTTTAGCATTTCTATTAGAGTGTACAACAGAAATTCTGAATCAGCAATTGGTCGCATTTCTCTAATCTTCCGCGAAATACGCTCAATATGAATCCCAGCTTTTAGAATGGCGTATTCTAATAAATAAAATATAACGTATTCTAGTAATATTACTAGAATATACAGGTTACGCTTACGCAGGTTGCGCTTCATGTGACGGCACCTTGACTGTAAAAATACATTTACATGTAAGTGTCAAGTGTCAAGCAGCGGAAGCAGCAACTAATCAGCTGGGTGATTTTTACAGGTTTGCGGCAGCACTAAACGCCGCTCTCTACTAGCCAATCGTGCGCAACATCAACTGGTGAAGCAAAAGTAGAGAGATAGAGTCTCGGTCATTCTCGATGTATTGGAGGCTAGATATGCATTTCTGGCATCACTGCATTCTCTGCTTCAGAACAGTACTGTCTATGGTTTATGCTAGTTACTCTGGTTGATTGGTATGTACTATATACATACAATCTCTGTGTTGCATCAAGAGATAAATTTTTTTATTTGACATGAAAACGAAATTACAGTTACGTAACTTTTTTCATCAATTTTTTCTCAAAACATCAGATTAGATAAGTGAAAAATTGTCATATAATTGACAAATCAGCATCACAATTTTATTTTTTTAAGCGATAATTCTCACCTAGCCTCTAAAACATCACATGGTACGACATGTAGCATTGTTATTTTAATCAAGGATTTGTCAAGTTATTTTTGTATATATGACGCTTTGTTTGTTATCACGAGCTTTTTTATGATTTTGGTTTAGTTAACACAGTAGACTTTTTTTAAATATAAGGAAATATACATTTATAAATATAAATTTTGTGTCGAATTCGGTGTATCTTTTAGCAAAAAATGTTCGTTAAAAGAAATAAAATTGTTTATTTTATTTGAAAGCTAAATTGCAATTATGTAATTTTTTTTAATTGTTAAACTGTACTAATAATTATTCTTTCTTTCTTTTATATGGCAGAAATTTCATAAAAGATTAATTGGAATTATTTAAAAAGAAGAAAAAGAAATATAATACATACAATGGAGAATCTGCATTACTTTACTTGCTGGACATGCAAAGTAAAGTTTACAGATTTGGCAATATTTAAACATCATTATCGTACTGAATGGCATAAGTATAATATAAGTAAAATAGCAAATGGATTACCTTCGATCACTCTTGAAGACTTTGAGATAAAAGAAGCGATGTATCGTGAGAATAATACAAACCAGATTAAGAAAAAACAGATTTGTGATGTCTGCCAAAAGAAGTTCAACAATCAGAAACAGTACGAGAATCACTTGGCCTCGAAAACTCATAAAAAGAAGTCGGAGCAAAAAGAAAATACAACTGTAGCTTATAGCAAAAAGTTGTCAAGCATACAGACTTCATCCAATAAGAATACAGACGACATTGAAACAGATTCAGATGTAGAATCCTTTAATTCAAACTGGTATGAAGATCTGATGAATCAAATTACTTATAATGATTGTTTATTCTGTGATTATCATAATAAATCCATAGAGTGCGTTATGATACACATGGAAAAGAAACATTCGTTTTTCATACCTGATCTTGAATATTGCGAGAATCTAGGTGGCCTGTTAAAATACTTGGAATATAAGATATGTGTTGAATTTAAGTGTCTTTGGTGTAATGATTCAGGTAAATAAATTATTTTTTTTTTATTAATTACTTTCTCCATTATTTATATATTTGATTAAAATGAAAGAGTAAAAAATTTGAATTGAACGGAAAGAATTACAATTGTAAAAAGTTTAATCAAATAAAAATTGATATATTTTTACAGGAAGAAAAATGCGAAGCGCACAAGCAGTGAGGATGCATATGATCGACAAGGGCCACTGTAAAATGTTGTTCGAAGAAGAGACAATGTGCGAGTATACAACTTTTTATAATTACTTATCTAGTTATCCAGATCCCGAAATTACCGATTCAGATGAAGAAGTGTCGGATGTAGAGGTTTTAGACGACGAGGGTTACTTGATGAAGCTACCGTCTGGCAAGTCGATCGTCCACCGTGATTTGGCGCTTTACTATAAACAGAATCTACCTGTGGGAATCACAGCGATGACAAAGGACTCAGATTATTGTCGACGCAAGCGAATACATAAGCAAATATCGTTTGGGTCGGAGGAAAAAAAACTTGAAGTCGCCCGGATTACAGCACGAGACATTCAAAGCTTCCAGCGAGTCCAAGCCAAGTATTTAATGCAGCTGCAAGTCAAACAAAACAAACTACAGAAATATTTCAGACAACAAACGAACTTTTAACTATATTTAATAACTAAGTATAATTAGATATGCATAATTTTTAGAAAGTTGTAAATTTTTAGAAATTACATATGTGTAATTTCTAGAAAGTTATAAAAAATAAAATATGCATTTAATAATGTAAAGTTGATTATCCCTGCACCATTACATTTTATTATCACATTATTTATAAGTACAACAAAAAACGCAACTTAAATGACTTAATTACTCATCTAAATGGATTTTATTCTAGTTTTAATCATTTAATTCTAATCTAAAATCAGATTCAAACTTTAGACACGCCATAACTTCGCGTCCTTTCAATTGCTAAGAAATCGAAATTTATTATTTTTAAAAGATACATCACGTAATACAAATTATTATAAATCGCTTTATAATTCGCATTTTACGGATGTTCTTACAAAATAACTTGTGTATACTTTATAAATACTCTTTCATAACACGTTTCACCGACAAAAATATTTTCTATTTTTTTCTTGAATAATTTTTTTTTAAATTTATGTGGACCCGTTATATCTAGAGCAACACCTCCATTACGTATTACGACTGAAGTCGTCGCTTTCGATAGAACGTAATAAATATATATATAAGTTAGAAAAAGATCTTATACATCATCGCATTTCGCTGATGTTCATATGAGAAAGAAAGAGGGAGAGGGGAGGAAGATATAATTGGACGTTTATCTCATGATGGCCTTTTTTCATGGTGGCCTCAGCGAATCACGAAATGTAAAGACATTTAATAGTATTTGGTACTTTGATATTTTATGACTTTCTTTTTGTTTTTGTTCTATTAGAAATTTATCAGATTAATTCTTTGTAATTCATGCTTTCCTTTTAATCTTCAGATCTCAGCAAACAAGAATGAATTAAAATGGATTGAAATTTTTTTCTATTCGAATGCGTATTTTAAATAGCGAATTTTTTTTGGATTTAATTGGATTCAATTGGATTTAATTAAATTCAATTGGATGCAATTGGATTGAAAAACTGCATTTCCTATTCAAAATTTTGAATTGAACAATATTCACAATGCACAGAAAAAGCTAATATTATTTTTAGATTGAAAGGCATAGAGATATGCTCCATGCAATTCCTATAAATGAATAAAAATGCATTTAGGATTGAAAAGCATTCATTTTAACATCCATGAATCAATATTTCTGAAAATTTGAATCCATTTCAATTCATTTTAATCCATTCTCATTTGTTGGAATATCTTCTCTGAATTCCTGTTACATATATGCATATATAGGTATTCTTTTTTTAAATTAATTATGAAAAATATATATATGTATATGATCAAAAATATAATATTGCTAATAATAGAAATGATAATATTAAAGTGTTTTGTTTTCTTAGAAAATGTTCCAAAATTACTTGTTCCAAAATTGTAATATAACGGGATTTTTAGAAAGAAGATTCTTATACATATATATTTTATCGTTTAATTTGATCATTGGTATTTACGTTTGTATTAAATCTTTATGATTTTTAATATTCTTCTTATATAGTATATAAGAATTGAATGATATATATGATTTTATATTTTGCATTATATCTTTTTTTACTATAATAGATTTGACTTTTAGAGTCGTGTTGACTTCCGTGCAGAACAGAAATAAAAGATCCGAATGTGAAACGTCTATCAAACGTCTAAATATTTGATAGACTTTATATCTGATTCGCCCATTTGTTGTGTTAAATTATTTAATTTTATTGAATAATTGTTCTTTATCTTCATTTCTCTTAACATTTCTTCTTCAGAACACACAGGGGCAGTAATACCGGATATCATTCGGATACGTTTCGACACGTATTACGTGAAACGCAATAATACACACTTTTCTCTTTTGTTTTTAGATAAATATTCTATGAGAAGATGTCACGTCATTCGTGACATCGAGACATACATTAAATGCTGTTATTGTCACGACACGACGATGATACATATATCTTTTATCTACTTTACGCTTTATGGTTTCGTGTGTGTTGACGGTTTAATTTAATTATAAGCTCTCCAAGCGAGCGGACTTTCTCATTTTATCTTCAATCTAATAACTTCACCATCAGTTTTAACGCCTGATGGGGCGGCGCCGGTCTAATAGACTTGTCTAATTCCGTGTACGGGATTTCTGCTTCCACCTGGTAGCCGTGCTTCAGATAGACTTTTAGTGAGAATGCACTGGTTGCATCGGCCTTACACACCTGTGGTGATATGCTGTATTAGATTTGTTTTTCATTCTTTTTTTATTAAATTTTATTTTTAATAAAATTAAAAGATTTTATTGAAAGTCTTTTGAAAAAGTTCCTAAAATAAGTGGATTGAAACAAGAAGTCCCTTTGATAGATCAAAATGATTTTAAGAACTGTGTATCTCGTTATCAATTTTATTTGATTTTTACGATAAGCCTTTTTTTCTTGTAATCTCTCCATAATATAGATAAACAATCTGAAGAATAAATCCATTAATTTTTTCTTACTTGTAAATATTGAGAGATAAGAAACAAAAATAATAATTAACATTGCCGTTAATCGACTTTATGGTAGATATTATCTACATATCAGTTACTTTTCTAGAATTAAATAGTTAAGATACTTCTAGAACTGACGACATTCGATAAATTAATGAATAATTTAACTACTAAATTTTGAAAGTTAAAAATAAAAATAATTACTGTTAAATTAATACATATAATATTCATTTATATTGATATATGTATATATTCTCTACTGTATCATTTATTCATGTTATTTATTAGTTCATATTAATTTATTTATCATGTTAATCTGATCCTTTACTGTGCAAGAGAATGTACATATGAAAGTGCAAAAAATATCTTTTAACATAATAACAAAACTCAATCAACGGGCGAAGTAAGAGTCAACCACATTTTTTAAAATTTTCATAAAATTATATATTATATTAACAGCGATGAAACATCACGCAAAAATTAGACTATAAACTAATAAATGTTGTAAATATCTTTTAAGAAAAATAATGTGTGAGCGATAGATTGTAATTATACATTGTGAAAAAGTAAACAAAAATTATCCCATGCATATTAAGAAGAAAAGCATGCTGAAACAAAAGGAAAGTGAGTGCTGTGTATGCAAACCAGTGATCACATCAACGCAACAATCTTAAATTAATG